GCTTCATATATCGAATTACCTGTAGAACTTCGCTGATTGAGGATCGGTTGGGACCAAATCTTCACGACAAAAAAGATAATTTCAGCTTTCCAATTGTCAACTTTCCATATCTATGTAGCTATATTCAAGCAGTTTTGAACTTGAAACCATCACATACCATCACTTTTGGGATAAATAAGATGTATTTTTTTGGGATAAATAAGATGTATTCTTTTGGGATAAATTAAATGTATTCTTATTCTTAATTTAACGGAGACATTTTGTCATGAAGTTAATAATCTCAAATTTGTAAACTTAAAACAGTATGTCAAAATCTAGTACTTGTATTTCAATTCTAAAATAATATGTAACTACGGTGGGAAAACTGGAAATAGATAGGAAATACATAAACTCACTTTTTCCTGGTAACCAACATTGACAAACATTAGCGTGGGCATTGCATTGAAGTATGTCATAATGATGGCATCTTGTCTCTTTACATTCTGACTTGAAATGACAACAATATTCACCACTCACTACAATAATTAAACGTCTTCAAGTAAATGATCTCCTGTTTGTAATACATTTTTAATTCAATTTAGTCAAGCAATATAACAAATTAGCCTGGGTGATATACAATTATTTAAGAAGGTGCTGACATTTTCAAACCGAGATATCCTGCATGCTTATGTTCTGTCAACAATCATAACCTAGTGATTGTTGAGCAATTTTTCCGTTGTGATTCTATTTGTATAATGCATTTATGTGTTTTTGAATATTGAAGAGTTGTTTGACACCGCATCCGTGTTACTAATGACTGATGGTACGCGGTAAGAATGCATTGGCTGGTTTTGTTCCGTTATCTTATATGATTTTGATCTCATGAATTTGTCGTGCTACCGATTGTCTATTTTGATTTTTTGAAAATGTGCGCCAACATTCGTTTTTGTCTTTTTGATAGCTTTATTTAAACAACAAGTTTGTTTAATATTATTTTGTATTTGTTTTTGACGACACATTTGCATTTGTAACCTTTGGTTGATCAGTTTTTAGCAGACAAGTGCGCATTCCTATGATGATATCCATAGTATTATTGGGAATTTCAAGGAAGCGCTTTGGAAGCACCACATGTATAAAACATGTAATTTTACATCACTTCCTGTGTAAATCTTGATAGAAGGCTTTTTCTTACTAGGTACCATTTGAATCAAGACTCCTTGGTGGTTCTCGAATCAAAACCGTTTGGATGCCACATCAAATACCAATGTGATGAGTATAGAAAACAAAAGTCAAAATCATTGTGACAAATCATAGTACATCTATGCATGGAGAAGATTTTTTTTATTGACATTCAACTTACAAAAAGTGACCACATCGATGATATTTCATGTCAGCACAGAAATGCTAACAGCTGGGCTGACGATACACACAGGGACGTAACGCTTAGTTTTGGAATTTGATATGTTTTTAAAAAATTGGATTTTGCTGCTTTTCGGCGTTCTGCCACTCAGTTTTCAAAATAAATAGAACACAAACCAATGTAGAATTTTATCGCCAAATCGGCCTTCAGTCTGTTTAAAAGTTGTTGCTTTTGAACATCCGTTCAAGCAGACCGATAAGTAGATATATCCGCAAAATAGGAAGAACACAATGAGTTCTGTATTTCATTCGATTATTAAAAAGTAATACTTACCAACAATGACAAAAAAAAAACAAACAAAAAAACAGGAATACTTTATACATTTGTGTGCGTGTGAATACACAGCCGGTTAACATGTTATAATATCATTTGTCTACAATCTGATTGTATTTGTTTTATCTTATGTCTTGACCCCTTGTCTAAATTTTAACAGTGTGTAGGCTAGAGGAACAAATCAATCTTAGTTACGATATTCAGACTGTTTAATAAATGACCCGTACACGTTTAGTACATGGGGGTATATTGTAAATGAAAGCATTGTAACCCTAGAGAGACAAATTTAGTATCCATTCATTTGAACGAATGATAAGGAATAAATTTCAAATGTAATAAAGAAAGTTATTGTCTCTAAATTTTCCTTTGACAAAAGTATCATGATCAAGTATTTTGTATATTATTTTTTGATCTTTTTAACTCTAGTCATCATCAATCGAATTTCTATTCAATCTTTTGTTGTAAACAATCGAAACCTCAGCCAATCGCAAAAGCAAGCTGAAAGCAAATTGCAAAGATATTATTTAGATACAATCCGCCTGAAGACTTATCCTCTAAAATATCATTTTGGCAGATAGTACTTCATGAGATTTACATTTTACTATACTGCAGCCTAAAATAAACTTGTAGTACTACTTAGTCTACTTAAAAAAAATTACTTTATGTAATAATATTTTACTTTTTGCCCAAACAGGCAACGTGAAAAAAGTAAAAGGATTTCTGCATGTTCATATCAGTATATAAATTTTATGATCTTATTGTAATACTACATATACAAGAAGTTATGTGTTAAAGGAGATTTTTTTATGTTCCAATCGGAATACAGTTTTTTCTTGAATATACTGAATCATGTAAGCTAAACACCAGAAACAAAGAAAATCAAACATACAAAAGGCTTTATAGCATTAAACGAAAAGGTCCAAACAGTTCAGAAAACGTCATATAAGGTCAACATTTCCTTTTTTTTAATTTAAGTGATTTGGAACTATAGCATAATTACATCATTTATACACTAGAAATTGAAATACAATTCGTAATATTTGAAACATTATCAACAAAATGATTATTTGTTGAAGATTGCCATGGATATTTATCGTAGCAACAATCCTAATTTCTGTCCACGTAAGTGACGTCGCAAAAAAAAAATAGATTAATCACTTCTTTTCGTTTTTTTTTACAAATACAAATATACTAATGGTGTCTTTAGTGAAAGAGAGGCGTAGGATACCAAAGAAACATTCAAACACATAAGTCGAAAATAACTGACAACGCCATGGATAAAAAGGAAAAACACAAACAGACAAACAACAGTACACAAAACACAAAATAGAAAACCAAAGAATGAGCAACACGATCCCAATCAAATACTCGGTGATCTCAGGTGTATCGAAAAAGTAAGCAGATCTTGCTTCACATGGGGTACGTGTCGTGTTGCTCATGTTAGTACAAGCCCGGTGATAAGTAAAACTTGGTAGGTCACATTTGGTGAAAAAGGAACGGGATTGTAGTAACGACAATTGTCACATATCAGTTGTCATCTGTGAAACGGATATTCCATACTCTTGATGGCGTCCGTAAAATTTACGAAGGGATGATTGCAACTTCACCACTCGGAACTCTTGGTCTGAAAGCTTCCTTGTGAGCAGCATCCCCCTATCAAGAAAATCATGATAGAAAATACAAGCCCTGGAATATCGTATCAACTTGGGAGATATGTACTACATATGCAGGCCCTACTAGAATATTGCAACATAGAAATGAAACGTTAACAGTTGGGAAATATGGATTCCACCACTGCAACAAGTGTGTTACGATATTTATTCACTCGAGACAGTTAAATTTTAATATTTAAAACGCGAGGCTTGCCGAGCTTTTTAAATAAATAAATTTTTACTGTTGAGAGTGGAGAACTATCGTAATACACGAGTTATAGTGGTGGAATTTGTTTCTCTTATGATTTTTATCCTTCCTTTTCAAAAATTTACAGAAAGTTGTGTTCTTTATATGTGACGTCATCAGACATGGTCGCCTTTTTTCATGACGTCACAATAGGAAATTTAGAAGAAACCAAGAAAATTTGACGTCATAATTTAATTTTGACCAATCATTTACCTAGAACTGATAGTTCACTAGTGAGGAGAAAAATTTTTCTCACACCGATCAAGAAATGTGAAAATAGCACAACAATAAGAGAAGCTGTAATAATTTCCTTATGTCGTAAAGTTTTGTTTTCAACCGACAATCATTGTCAATTTCTAGATGTAAATAGATATAAGAAGATGTGGTATGAGTGCCAATGAGACAACTGTAAGTCAAGATATGAGGCAGACTTAACTGTATCTGTTGTATCCTTTATCTCAAGTTCGAAGAGGTATATGCGTTCAACATAGTCACCAAATTTTGAATCATTTAGTGAGAGAACATCATCTATATAGCGGAGAGGGAAGTTAAAGGATACTGCTAACTTCTTTTCTTTTTTCCTAGAAGTTCCTGTATGAAGTCAGCCTCATATGAATAAACGAACAAGTCGACAAGAAGAGGGGCATAGTTGGTTTCTTAGTGAATGCCGATTATATTTTGAAAAACACGTCCTCCAAACGTTACAAATATGTTGTCCATCAATCAATCAAGCAGCTTTATAATGTTAGTTTCAGAGATTTTTTTGTTTGAAAAAGAGTGGTTTTTTACAAAGTACGACTTCCGTTTTTTTCATGGTTTTTATGTATGTGGGCGTCGGTTTAGATTTCGCGAGAAGTAATATAATGATTCGTGTAATTGTTTTAGTCAAACGTAATGAAGAAACTAAGGAACATTTTCAACCCTTCTGTTTCCAATTCTGTGCCTGCTGTTGTTTAGATGTTAAGCCTTTCAAGGTTAAGGATTTATTTGGAGAGACTGGTAAGGATTTTGCGCCCTGAATTGATATATCATTTTCTATTGTTTTATATACAACAGTTATTTTTATGTGTTTACAGCAATGTTTAGATAGGAGTATCGGAACTGCAAAATTACGTATAGGAAAAAGGCTTGAGTACAGAACATGGAACAAATAACATTGAATAAGCATACTCCAAACAAAATGAAGGAACAAAGACAAACACTATCTAATCTCAGACACATGTAAGAATTCAAACAATAGACCGAAAGCATCCCAGCAACTGCCTTGATTATGAGCAACTACAAAAGTGTTCCCTTGATATATTGTTTACTTCCATGAGTTTTGTTTTGTCGTGTGCATTCACCCCTTATCCTTTATATACAAATATGTAGTATAAGTGAACAAAATTTCATTAAACCAATTGAGTAATATGAGGTAAAATGTCTGTACAATCTTTATTGAGAATTGTTATCATCCAGAAAGATAAACTATACAATTCATAACAGAAAGTCGAAATTTGTTTGATTTTCTGTTCAGAATACAATAAGAAACAACAGTTTGTCTTATTTAAAAATCTAAGCATTTCAAGATAAAAAAATATCGTTAGAATCATGTCCGGCACTCATTGTTTGGAAAGGTACATTAACATGTATTTTTGTCTGTTGTGGAATCCCTTTAACATTTTAATCGAAACTGTTCTTAACAGAGGTTTGATGGGAAAATCAGGCAGTATTGCCAAAAAAAAACCCAAAAAAAACTCAATACTTGGAGTATTCTTAAATGTCATTATTCCTTTTAAATCTAAAAATATGGACATAATCAAGCAAAAATGCTGTGGACATCTAAATATCACAGGTGTACCTTCAAATCAGTTAATAAGGACATACATGATTACTTTAAAAAAGGTATGGTATTTAACCTGTATGAATGATAATATAATTTACTAATTTTATGCAAAATATCATTATAAATTATAAAAGATAACATTTTCGGGATGAAATTGAAGCAAAAAGCTCCCACAATTATTGGAACAGAGCCAATCATATGAAAAAAAGTTACTGCAACAATGACTAATTGTCTTATTCATCGAATTCAACTATTAAAACTTCACATTCTTATATAATTCGATGGTGCGTTAAATTATCTCCTGTTTTGGTTTGAATGAACGAAAATAGTGCAGAAATAGTTTAGTGAATTGTCCTGATTTATAAGAATTTATTCCATGTGCCTTTAAGCCTCTTCGTTTTTGATTTGGAACTTTTCAATAGAATCATCTTTCGTCATATCTAAATTCTTCGAAACTGTATCAGATGATACAACCATGACATATTTGTGCTCATGTGTATCAATGTCCGAAGTAAGATCTTGATGAGGACATGGAAAACTAACTCCTATTCCTTTAGTACATTGATCTGACAACGAGGAACCCGATCCGTCTGAACTCCAAAGGACAGATTTATATTCATGTAAATCTCTGTCAGAAACCATTGGTTGATATGGATTTAAATAACCGGATTCCATCGTTTGTGTATCTGACTCCGATGAGTCGGAATCATCGGTTTTATGAGTAGAAGAATATTCATGAATATCTGCTGAATGAATGATTGGTTGATACGGATTAAGATAGCTAGATCTTTCCCGTATCACATCTGACTTTGATGAAGTAGATTCGTGATCACTTATGGGTTGATTATTTGACGCTGATGATTCTGATTTACTGTCATTTGAGGTATTAGTATTTGCATCTTCATCAGCAGGTTGATACGGCGTAAGATAGTTGTTGCTGTCAGGCTGAACATAACTGCCATTAGAATCGGTAATTGACACATTGTTTTCCCTAAGGTTTACAATGTTATCTTTCATATTTGATTCATCTATTTCTTCATATTGTCCCTCAATTTCGTCAAGAGGAATTTCCCGTTGTGGATTGTCTGTTATATCAATCCTTCGTCTATTGTCCGTGTGGTATCTCTTAACATTTCCATAAATCTGTTTATACCGGTGCTTGCATACACTGCACATTAGTATAAAGAATACAAATGTACCGCCACCGATTGAATAGATAATTATTTCTCTGTTATTCAAACCTGCAAATATTCACAATTAAAACAGTTACCGACTTAAATCGTTAAATTCATTATGTATGCGTTGAGGAGCAAATGTGGAAAAATAAACTTGATAAAACTTTGAAGGCATCAACATCAGGAATGGATATACTGATCTCAATCAGTAAACGTGCATGACCTATAATGGTTTACTGACCTATAATGGTTTACTTTTATAAATTTTGACTTGGATGGAGAGTTGTCTCATTGGCACTCATACCACATCTTCTTATATCTATGAAACAATTAGAATAAAGGTAGAATCTCCTTTTCAACAAAAAATAGACATGCTAAATATGCTAATGTCAACTCTAGTTTATATCGCACATATTGTGAATGACAGATTTTTTTAATTTGATAAGCAGCGACTAAAAAGGACTATTGGTAAAAGAAGTCAATCGGTACTGATATTATTTAAACCATGAAAAATCATCTTTTCAAATTTAGGAAATTATTAAAAAGAAGATACCACTTCCTTGAAATGCCTGTACTAAGTCAGGAATATTACAGTTGTTTTCTATTCGTTTGAAATGTTTCAGGTTTTGATTTTGCCATTTGATAAGGGACTTTGTGTTTCGGGTTTGCCTTTGAGTTCGGTATTTTTGTTATTTTACTTTTTTCTCCATCAGGCGTAGTTGACGTTAGGTGACTTTTAAAATCATTTTTTGTCCCGTATGGTCATTTAGCTCCTCATTTGTTCTGCCACTAATTAGAGAGGTGGGTTAATTTCCCCGCAATTAGTTTCACACCACGGACATTCTCAATTATTCTTTTAATCCTTATCTGAATTCACATTATAATAACGCAAAAGGCTCACTAAAGAATTTTAACAATATTATGGTTACATAAAAAGGTCGCCTTATTATGAGTGCTTTGAGATAGCAAGAAACTGCAATTTTGATAGATTTTGTCAAACTTTAAGCAAAATAATATAAAAAAGGACATCGTTTATCAAAACCACAGTTTTTGGAGGTTGATGGTTTGTTTGATTAAATTAATTTTGTTTATTGTCAAGTCAGGAATATAACAGTTGTTTTCCATTCGTTTGATGTGTTTGAGCTTTTGATTTTGCCATTTGATCAGAGACTTTCCGTTTTGAATTTTCATTGGAGTTTGATATTTTTGTTACTTTACTTTTTGTTGCAAAATTTAACAAAATCTTCGAAATTTTGAATTGGAATGTCATGATAATAATATATTGCATTTTGACCTTATTGAGATATTTTAAAATCCAAAGTATATAATACTGACTCTTTAATGTTCAATGAACCATGCAAATAAATCAAATACAAGGTATATTTGTCCTACTCCTTTTGGTGGGTCCATATGCAATTTTATAAAAGTATATCAAAATACTTAAATAATTAAGGACCTGCAAGACAAAAAAGGATCTGAAAGTATAGATAAAATTCAATTAAGATTAACCTAAGAAAAAAGGAACCTTAGTTTTCCTAATGATTTCTTTAAAAAATTACAAATCATGTTAGTGCCGTTACATTGACTTATAAACCGATGATATCCCCGATGACTAGCAGTCCATCAGCAGTATTAACCCATGTTATTGAGGGATGATGGTTGATATATCATAGTCACATTCACAACTTGTTCTCATCTTCAGGTGATTAAGAACTAATTATATCAAATAATAATTGTCTGTTGTTGAAGATTGTATGTTGGCATTTAAGTTTTATTAATATGGGTTGCTGACTCATTGAGTCAAAATCTGATTATAAATTAACTGATACCATGTAAGATATAATCATGATACAATATTTCTTTATTGAGGAAACCACAAATGTCCGGAAAGATTTAACAGTCGAGAGTAATACACCAGCCCCTTTTGTTTTATTCGAATGTTACAGTTGACACTTTGGTAGACGAAAAATCTATTGGACAAACGTAATTATACGCCTGGTATCTGTTGACCTTTTAGTATCTATAGGTTTATACCACTATTGGTATACGTTTCATCCATATCCGAGTGTATCACAAGACTAGTTTTCAGCCCCTCGCTGCTAACATGGAATATCAGATACATGGTCATATTTTGTAAAATTCTTCTTACAATTTACATTTGTAATCATTACTTTGTTTGTACCGCAATAATAAGAGCCCATGGTAATAATTAATATTTTGCACACTTTTGAAACAGTATTCAATGATCTTCATTTTCAAAAATGATTCCGACTTAGAACTGTTTGATTCGATTGGTACTGAAAAGTTCTTATGAAAAAAAATCTGTTCTTGTAAGGATATAACAAGTTATATGGTTTGCTACTGACCTCCTAAAGATCCACATAGGGTTAGTAAAATCCATAGGGGGTGAAGCCGAAGGACGAATCCCCTATGGATTTTACTAACCCTCTATCGTCTGCAGGGGGTCTGCGGTGAACTGTATAACGAATTTATCGCACACAGGACTTTTCTTGCTAAGCTATATATAAAAAAAACAATGACATACAAAAACATTAATCGATGATGTCATCATTAATAGTATACGTTTGGGTTTAGGAGGAGGCATGAGGGATTTATGGATTTTTGAGATAATAAGGTCTACTGATATGCGCACGTAAACGAGGAGAAGGTACCTACAACATTCGGTTCAAGAGGTTTGTGTGAATACTAAGATCACTAACCTTTTTTTTTGCATTTTGCACTTACCCAGATCGTTCGCTTTAGGCTTTACAGTAGTGCTTTGTAATCTTCTTGTACTGGTTATAGGCGTGGAGGTTTTTTCGCTGATGGTATATAATCTTATGGTAGGAGACAAAAGTGTAGTAAGCCAGTTGTCATTGTATTCTCTAGATGTAGGCGTATTTGTCAGTGGTATGGTAGATTCTGCAATGACATTTATCCATTTAACAGCCTAACATTGAAACCAAACAACAGCAATGAATGAGTTTTTATGATTACATTATTTCCCCAATAAATAGCAAATGGTACTTATCGTATATATTGTGTGCCTTCCATAGATAATGTGGAAATCATGTTTTTACATACTATTCTAAATATGGGCATTCCAATTCAGATTTCGATTTTTTAATTTCTATTCCTTTCATTCAAGTATTGCCTCTCTTCAAATCAATGCAGCTTAAATGGATATTTAAACAAGCTATTCAATATGCAATGCATACAGGACTGTAAGAATAGTGATAAAAGGCAAAATATAGCAATCATATAATTAACGATATTATAACATATGAAGTAGGAAACAAATTATTCATCATCACAGTTATATATAATTAAATACCGGTTTTCTCTACTGTCCAGTTTTGTTCACGATTGATACATCCTTCAATGTGATTACATCTACCAACATAAAATTTGATTTAATTCATTTTTTTCTTTGAACTAGATTTGCAGACTTTATTTGGATGTATACATTGTATTGTGATCTATATATCTAATAAAGGAACAAAACTATTTAACTAAAGCAGCAATAAGTTGCACATACTATCAGTTCTTATATGAATTGTGCATTTTGGGATATTGAAAATTATCTAGAAGTCAAAATGTTCAGACAGGATTGTCGTTTTCCTTGAAAGATTTAATTCCAGTCGGGGAGAACATTAACAGTACTTGGAAACGGAGAATTGTTTCAAGCGATAAAGACATGCATTAGGCAGACCCAACGCATTTAAAATTCATGTAGATAGCATATACGCATTTATGCACTATAAATATTGTAATGTAATCATAATAAATCGTTGGATAAATTGCATACTCTTCCAAATTTTATCGTTTGAAACTAAAACATGTTCTTATAGTATTAAAGTGTACTAAGATCAAAATCACATACCCACACTCACTCTTATTTAAATATGTCGGTCTAGCATCCACTGCCTATTTCGATCAAACACGAATACAAGAGAAAATATTATTAAAAAAAATTGGGTCTATTTTGTTAATAAAAAAAGAATTGTAAAAACAATTAATTACTAATCAATATACTTAGTTATGTTACAGTCACACATCCTGAGACATTCTTTTCCGAAGAATCCTTTTGGGCAAGGACTGCAAAGACTTCCATCTAGCGATTCAAAACCATTCGCACATTCTGTTTAAACTCAACAGGATGAATTTGATACACCATTTTTTTCCATAAGTATTTACGAAAAAATATGATTATAAAACAATGTATACTAATCACGCTACAACAGCAAGTAAAACTTTAAGACATGGATATTAAACAACAGATGGAACTCATAAAACTAATCAGGTTGCTTGAAAATATACTGTGAGGACAGCAATTTATGTACACTTTACAACTAATGTTCAAAATGTTCTGTTGAGGAAAAGACTTTGTTTACAGTCATAAACAGTCAGAGAAAAACATGACATTGTGCAATGCCAAGATACAGGTATCGACAGATTGTAGATCCATGAATGTGTATATGTATATAACAATAATATTTAGTTTGCTTTTAATTTACTGATAACAAAATCAATATTAGTACCAATAAAAACAATATTTAATGATCTAATTACAGTGTTGAATTGGTAACCATTTAGAATAAGTTTATTTAAAGGATCGATAAGTTTACGAGGATCGTTTCTAAATTTCCGGGCACGGTAAACAATATTGCCTTAAAAATGAGGATGTGCAATCCCGTTTGAAATAAGTTTTCTATAGGTACAACCAAACTTCAAAACCAAATCTTTATATCTGTGGAAGAATTAAGTAAAGGTTTTAAGTAATTTGTGGTCACAAAATCCCTGGCTTAATAATTTACCAGTAATACATAGATTACGTTCGTTAAAATCAAAAACGTCACAACAGACACGGAGATAGCGAACGAGTTGTGAACTATTAACACCGTGAGATGGTGCCAAAGGAACATCACCATCCAAAAAGGGAAAATTAACAATAGGGAACGAAAAAGCGTCCCTTTTGTCGTAAATTTTAGTGTGGAGTTTCCCGTGTAAAACCGAAATATCTAAATCTAGGAAAGGACAGTTGTTACCGTTTAAATTTGATTTATTCTAGTAAGTTCCTCTGTGTAAATTTCGGCAGTATATTGAGAAAATTCTGGATTATTCAACGAAAAAATATAATCAAGATAACGGTAAGTGTTGTTGAATTTATCAATTAAATGCAATTTAGACGGGTCTTTACTGAGTTTGGTCATAAACTGTGATTCATAACAGTACAAAAACAAGTCTGCTATTAAAGGGGCGCAATTAGTGCCCATAGGAATACCTACAACCTGTCGATAAATTTTGCTGCCGAAACGTACACAAATATTATCAAGGAGAAAATTAACAGCTTCAATCATCTCATCAACCCTCCAGTAAGTATATCTAGCATATTTACCTTTCTCATTAAGGAAGAAGGCTTTAAATGAGTTGCAGCAAATATATTTGCATTCAGATTTACCAAACGACCATTTAATTAAATAGTCAAATTTTTGTTTGATAAGATTGTGTGGAAGTGTAGTGTAAAGTGTAGAAAAGTCAAAACTGTCAACAGAATCAAAAGGACCATCAAAAGCACGTAATTTATCAAAAACATCCAAAGAATTTTTTACACTCCAAAAATAGTTAATTCCACTATTTTCATATATTTTATAACAATAGTTTATGAAAAGTTCTTTGAAAGTAGTTAAGGAACTTGTTAAAAGCACTGAAAGATTAGTTGTAGAACACTTACAAGAGGTCGAGATGAAACGATATTTTACTGTTTTTTTGTGTAGTTTAGGTAACCAATACATAGTAGGGACCTTCAAATGTTCAGAAAAAGCCTTAAGCTATGATGTGGTTATGATATGTTTGTTAACTATATGACTCTGTGGGGCGCATGGACTTGAATGTAGATGAATTTAAAATTTCATTCTTAAGAACGTCCGTGTAGTATTTACGGCATACCACCACCACATTGTTGGCTGCTTTGTCGGCCGGTACAAACACAAACCGCTTTGAAAGTTCTTGAAGTTTATTTCTTATTCTGGAAATAGGCGTATTATGTACTCTATTATTTACTTCTAAATTATTTTCAAAATGTGATATTCTATTATCTACCACATTCTTACATTTATTAAAATAAGAATCAAGAGATTTTTTATCAGATTTTTCCCGTTTACACCAATTTTTACAAAACGAGGAAAGAGCATCTCTGGTGACCTGACGACACTGTTTCCAATCTATTTTAGATGGAGGACGATATTTTGATCCTTTTTTCAAAAAAATTTATACCTCTCTGTCCTTGACGATATTGAGGTCCCCCGTAATAACATGGCCATAGGGAACATGTCTAAACTTCGACGATTCACAGTTTCAAGTTAAAGGAGTATTATTTTCTACATTGACGTCTGATGTTACCGGCGTATAATTAAAAATTAAACTTCTGCTGGGTTTTTTGTATGTGTATGAAATAATAGGTGGTTCTGTGTTATCAAAATAGGGAGGTATGAAGTTTTGAACGGTAGAGTCATTAAATATACTAGATAAGTTGATAAAATCAATACCTCTGCTAAAATATTTAGTTTTTAGAAAATGACGTTTATGATCTTCAGGTTTGTCGATACACGGGAACAGCCTATGGTGGCAAAAAGCTGTAATCATACGCGAATATTCATACAGCGGGCTGAAGAAAGAGATGGTGTCACACTCCTTGAAAATATCATGTAATTTAAGCCTCTTTCAACTGATTTTTATAGTTCGTTCTTATGTTGTACCGATACACCACTGTCCCAGGTTAGGGGGAGGGTTGGGATCCCGCTAACATGTTTAACCCCGCCACATTCTTTATGTATGTGCCTGTCCCAAGTCAGGAGCCTGTAATTCAGTGGTTGTCGTTTGTTTATGTGTTACATATTTGTTTTTCGTTCATTTTTTGTACATAAATTAGGCCATTAGTTTTCTCGTTTGAATTGTTTACATTGTCATTTCGGGGCTTTTTATAGCTGACTGTGCGGTATGGGCTTTGCTCATTGTTGAAGGCCGTACGGTGACCTATAGTTGTTAATTTCTGTGTCAGTTGGTCTCTTGTGGAGAGTTGTCTCATTGGCAATCATACCACTTCTTCTTTTGTATATTTGAAAAAGTTATACACAAACATTATACCTGTGAAGTTATAATGCAATATGAACGCATTTTTAGATGTTCAGGATAACGCATTATTCAATTGAAAGATATAGCTGAAGTGGACAGCTTTTTTGTTTTGGTGTAAACAATATTTTATTATGAATAATACAAGTATAATTATAAACACATTCACGATTAGGATTCAGAAACAAGCAACAAGTGCTTATATTAATCCGTCTCCTTTTTTTTTTAACAATATACCCTTGTTTTGTGTTTATTTGCAAAACGTTCTGTATATGTACTTATTTTCGCGGTGTATTTATTTTCACGAATTTCGCGGTAGGTTTATGTTTGCGAAAATAAATACACGCAAAATTCAAATGCAGATTTAATGCATATAAAATTATAAAATACATATTACTGGAAATATTAACTGTACATGCATGTTCACCTTGTTGGCATTAGTTAACTTCAACTGAACCGTGTAACTGTTAATACAACACCATAAGTATCCGCAAAAAAGTACTTATACTGTACTTTTTAATACGAACTTCTAAAACAAAAAACACTACTTCTCAATTTTATTAAGTCAGAAATATTTATCACGGATCCAATATGTTCTCTCCGACTGTGATAACTGATATGAACAGTAAAACAGAATGTGACATTATCAATGACATGTCTACACAGGTGTGCTGTAAATGTTTCATTTAAGTGTGGTAGCGGTATGACCTGCATTGAATTTCCCAAGATTTTTTTATTGATTTCGTTTTTCAAAATTCCCTGTCATGTGCAGGACACACAAATAAATGATATGAGTGGCTGAAACATGCTTTGAGTGCCCAACTCTTCCCTGACACGGAAATTTGCATTATATTTTGGCCTATTTCTCTTTTTTAAGCAATGTTGGCGACTAAATTTTGGGGGTTTCAAAAAACTGGTTTGTACTTATATGAGAAACACGCCCGATGCCACATGTGTAGCAGAATCTGCTAACCGTTCCAAAGCATGTGATCACTCTAGGTTTTTTTTTGGTAGGCTTCGTGTTTCTCAGTCTTTCTATGTTTAGTTTTGTATACTAGTACTGTAGTTTGTCTGTCGATTTTTGCCACGGCGTTGTCAGTTTGTTTTCAACTTATGAGTTTGCATGTTCCTTTTGTACCTTTGACCTCTCGTCCAGAGGTGTTGCACAATATATACGTATGCACGTATACTATATGGGTTGTTTTGTATAAAATAAAGTATAATATTGTACTAAGCACCTTGCGAGAACATTTAAAGGAAATAAATATCTTCTTCTTATACGTGTACATCTATAGATAAAGTAAGTATATATAATACTAGTGTTTTTAATCTTATTACACATATTATCAATATATAAAAGAGAGGCGAAATGTACAAAAGGGACATGCAAACTCATAAGTTGAAAATAAACTGACAACGTCATGACTAAAAAAAAAGAATACAAAGAGTTGGTCTGTAAGTTTGGCTGTACTAGTAGAAAACTTATTTCAAACGGAATAGTACATCCTAAATTTTACGGTGATGTTGTAAACCGAGCCCGGAAATTTAGATACGATCCGGGTAGACTTATCAATCCTTTAAATAAACTTCTTCTAAAAGGTTACCTATTCAACACTGTAATTTAATCTTTGAATATTGTTTTTATTGGTATAAATATTGATTTTGTTTTCAGTAAATTAAAACCATACTAATATTACACATATGTACTTTCACGGTACTACAATCTGTCGATACCTATAGTTTGGCATTGCACAAGGTCATATTTTTCACTGACTGTTAATGACGTCTTTACACTAAACCCATTGGATGTTGGATGTGTACTGATTGATATTTTAGTCTTAGGTGCATGATTTCTTTTTAGTTGTTATTGGCTTTGAACTAGCTGTCAGTAACTGCGAGTACTCTCAGATCTGTACTTAGTGTCTTTTTGTTTTGGGGATGTATAAGTACCCGTCCACGTCCACTCAGTGGTTTTGTTAGAATTATCTCAATTTGAATCCATCTGATGAGTTAAGCCTTTTTCAACTGTTTTTTATAGTTAATTATTATGTTATGCTGTTACACTACTGTCCCAGGTTATGGGGAGGGTTGTGCGATCACAACCATTTTTAACCCCGCCACATTTTGTATGTGCCTGTCCCAAGTTAGGAGCCAGTAGTTCAGTGGTTTTGTTCATGTCTGTCATATTCATATTTGCTTTTCGTACATTGTTTTGTTATAAATTAGACTGTTAGTTTTTTTAATTGAATTGTTTCATATTTGTCATGTCGGAGCCTTTTATAGCCAACCAAACGGTATGGATTTTTCTCATTGTTGAAGGCCGTACGGTTGTCTATAATTGCTTACATCCTCTTCATTTGAACTTTGGTGGATAGTTGTCTCATTGGCAACCATACCACATCTCCTTATTTTTATAACAATAC